TCACAGGACTTTTACCTCAAAGAGTCCAACTTTAGAAACTTGATAAAGTATAATTGGTAGAGCACAGAACATACGCGGAGAATGATGAAGCGATAGAAAATTACATCTGTGAATGACCAGCCATCAGACGACTTAGACGGGACATCTTTCACTGCTCCCAATGTTCAAGCACAAATGATGTTTGACAGTTAGAGTGGAAGTACATCAGATACTGGATCAAATCCACTGAGTTTCTGAATAGTTTTAATTGGTTACCAAATTGGGAGTACCATGGACCTAATGAAGGCTTAAATGCGGCCGCCTGGCCTCCGGTTTCAACGAATAACCAAGTAAATTCAGTTTAATGGGAAAATGCATAATCTAGATCATTCTCGATTTATATAATTTATTAGAATTTCTAGGAAAAATTTGTTGGAAATATTACTTTCAGTTGGAAAAGTCAATACTTCTTTACTCTTAGTTAAATAAGTTGGTATAGATAATGTTTATCTAGGCAGTGGTGAGCACATAAGGAATATCTTTACTAGATTACAAAATGAAAGTTCATTAAGCCTGGAAAGACATGTACAAATATAAATTAAGAAGTTACAGACAAGATTTCGATAAACTTTTAAAATAATTTCATAATTCTTTTAAAATGAAAATGAGATGAATTTTGATAAATGTTATTAAAAAGCTGATGACTTAGGCAAATTCTTTAAAAAAAAATTAAAGCTTTGAAAAATAAATTATATTTTGTGCCATATTCATAGCAATTTAACATATTCTACTTCTTTCTTCACTTTAAAAATTTTGTTATTTTTATTCTGCATTCCAAACATTTTAATATTTTATGTCTTCGCTTTCGTTTTTAACCCACTGTGCGACACTAACTGCAATTTTCATAGCTGCTTTCAAGCTATGAGACGGAATTACATTTTTGAAATTCTAATTTGTAAATCCAGCCAAGTTGCCAGCTTAGGCTGCATACATTTACACAGAGTATTAAACTGAAAGTTAAAATTTTGCGAATGCCCACGAAAGCCGTTACTTTTAAACGTACCTTAAATTCAAAAATGTATGAGTTGAAAATAACATATCCCGTTAACTGCAGCAGCAGCTTGTACAGCTGAAAGATTTGATATACTTACAAGGAAAAGTCATTCAGTGCGGCTAAGACAGCTGTTCTTCCAAGACTACCAACCGCATGCAGACACACACACACACACACCTACCAGCTTACATATACCCGGCGCGCATGATTGCCTTCGCACACCCGTCAGGGGTCACGCTCATTTCCATTTCATTTCAAGCAGTACTCAAGTACACTTGTGACCCTGTCCGATGGGCGATTATGCTTGGCACAGCGTAACCGCCCGCCTAACGCTGCAGTGTGAACCCAGTTGCGCTTTTAGCTATTCAAAAAATTTGCTTTTCCTTCCTCCTCTACCCTGCATTTTTTACGTGGCTTAAAATATTTGCATGACATTGCTTAAGCGAATGTGTGTCCGTCGGTTGCTCGCAAAATGTAGAATATGAAAAGTAAGCGCAGTGGCATTTTAAGCGCCGCAGACATTTATATGCTTCTGCAACACATACATACATAAATACATGTACAGACACTTCTTCAAAGAACCGCATTTACATAATGACGAACGGTGTGAGGCAGATGGAAAACAATTACAAGTTTTACTTGCACTTGTGCGCCTAAAAGTGCGCAATACAATTTGCATAATACCCAAGTCCACAGTCTCAGCCGCAAGTAGTGCAACCGCAACCGCAGCGGTGATAGTCACCAGCACAATTGCCACTAACCAAAAACGGTGTAATGCAAATGAGCGCAAATTGAATATAGTTTAGCGTTTTGCTCGACATTTTGCTTTAGGCATTTAAGCGTGTCGTTGTTGTGTCAGCGGGGGTGGCGTGCAGCCACTTGTAAATAGCACAGCTGGACAAGAAAACGGTAAGACACCTAGTAATAAAGCTGCGAGTGTGTGTTATATAGTGCTCGCCCTTTAATAGCGCTATAGAAAGTTGCTCTGAGAGTGCAGAGAGAAAATAGAATTTTTGAAGTTTTTACTTATATTTCACAACTTTTGGATTTTCTTTTATTTTATGCAAAAATGATTTCGGGCAAGTGACTTCCACGACTGGCTTGAATAAATTTAAGTCGAGTGACATAATTTACGAATACTTTTGGCAGCAATTGCGACCACGCCGATTATTCGTTTCCAAGGCGTCAATCGTCTCTTGCTTAGCTGCGTGGATAAGCGACTTCACTTGACCATACAAAAAATAATTTAGTGCTGTTAAATCGCACGATCTTGGAAGACACGCCACAGGCCCACGACGACGCGCGCTAATGCTTTTCTTCAGTGAATGTTTCGCTAGCTGTATAGTATTTAGCGCCGTCTTGTGGAAACCAAAGGTCATCCACATTAGCATCCTCCAATTCAGGCACTAAGAGGTCATTATTTATGTCTCTATAGCGTTCCTTATTGACAGTAACATTATGGCTGGCTTAATTTTTGCAGAAATCTGGACCAATGAATCCCTCAGCCCATGGAGCACTGAACACAAACTCCTGTTACTAAGAATACTTTTGGATTAGAGGGTAGGTACGATTGAAAGCCCTTTCATAAGGTAGAAATTTAGAGCTCATAGCTATGATTCAGCAGAATTGCTAAGGTTATAGAAGCTTTATAGTGAAAAAATGTAAGCTAACTCAATTACTCGAACATATGATATGAAGGAATGGGGGAGCTTCTTATGAGCTAGTTTCTCCTTGCAGATCTTTTGAAATCAAAGCTTAGGTGGTTATTAACGTCGCAGTTATCTTTTGTAAAACTGGATAAAATCATATTTATTTATACCCTGAACAGGGTATACTAAGTTTGCGATGAAGTTTGTAACCACTAGAGTAAAGTGTCGGAAAACCTATAAAGTAGAGTATAAATATAAAAGATTAGCGTGTTGAGCTGAGTCGATTTAGTCATGTCCGTTTGACTGTCTGTATATACGCAAATTATTTCCTCAATTTCTGAGATATCGAGCTGAAATTTTGAACATGTTTTTTCACCCTACGAAGCTGCTCACTTTTTAGAACCACTGATATCAAAGCTTTACAGGATATAGCTGTCAAACAATCAAACCGGCAAAAATCAAATTTGTGTACCGGAAATATTTTTATTTGACAAGATATCTTTAAAAAATTTGAAGCGGATTTTTGTCCTAGGCATCGTAACAATATCCGCAAAAGTTTTTCAGCAACTGGTGCAACCAAAAGTTAACATTTTTCCTTAAGACTCTTTACTAGATTTATCGAACGAATATTTGAGTTTTGGTAACAGGAAATGTCCCGAGTACTTAAGTTGGCGAAAAAGAGTGATTGAAAGATGAAACGTTTGAGTTATCGTTAACTGGTGTTACTTTTACGAACTATACTCCAGTTACTTTGTAGAAAAACAAGATGAAAAGCATTGTTCAATCGTTTTTTATAAAAAAAATTTCTCTGTTAATCCCGCTACAACTAATTGGTGGTACCAGACTCTTTTAGGTTAGGGGCTAATAATAATTCCTAAGATAGTGCTTCCAGGTATAGAACTCAAAGTTTTTCAGCCTCATACTCGAAAATTCGGAACAGTCAAGATTAATTTATTGAGAAAATTCTACTTATTCTGGTAAAATTGACCATCCAGTACGATTTTTAGCGTATTAAGCATTTGTATATTTTTATCAAAAATAAACAATACCAAAAAAAAGCGTACAATTTCTGCTACTTTTAAGATTTTTTTTTATCGAAAATTATGGTGTTTACTGTTTCAAAAAGTCTCTTTTAGAATTAAAGGGGTCGAAATATTTATTAATTTTATTAATTTTCTTTCTCAGTTTATCAAACATTTTCGATTTTAGTTGACTTTTTCTTGGTAATTATTATTAATACCGTATTGAGTGTTAATATATCTTTTATCTTAAGTCGGTTAAACGGTTTGTTGTTGTGGTCAGGTTCGATGGCTGGTTTTCAAGATGGGAATCGCACTGGGTGTACTGTATATACAGTTCTTTGTGAAGCCTTAAGCCTTTATCTTATAAGTCGATAAAGCGCCTTGAGGTCAATACAATTCTTCTTAGGACCTGTATTTATATTCACACTAGCTCAGCAGGATTTCTGTACCTCTAAATATTTAAGTTTTAATCTCTCAAAATCGAGACAGTCAAGAATTAAATTCAGAAATGTTTCCACCTCGTCGTTTTCCAGACAACTTCTACAACTGGCATCCGGTAAGATTCTCAACCTTACTGCGCGACAAACATAGGAAAATAACCTGTTAAAACCCATTGAACTTAGGAAAGGCTAGCCCTACTGTGTGCGAATATCAAAAGGATCTTGCGACAGCGAAAGACAGTAGTCCAGCATTGTTGTTCGATGTCCTAAGCCCAGCTATCCAATAGTAGAAGGCACGAAGAGGGCGGAACACGGATCCGTTCCCAATCTACTGATTGCAGAGCTAGGACATCTTGACACTCCGCTGTGGCATAGCACCTATACTAGCCTACTACTAGCTATCACGAAGTAACTTGATGCCCCTGGTAGCGAGGTTAGGAATTGCTTAAGGCTTAAGGCTAGTATCGCCGCCCTGTTATCAGAGTGGATGGTCTCTGAAGGGGGCTGCACTCCTTAGCAGTAAATCTACCGCTACCTTCATAGCAGCAACCTCGGCTTGAAAAACGCTGCAGTAGTCAAGGAATCTGAAACTGCACTTAGTAGATAGTTCCTGATAATATAATCTTTCACTAACCATCGCCGCGAATAAGAAGGTTTGCAGATATATGAAATTTCGCCTAAACGCGAGTGGTAACACGAGGAATATCAAAATTTTTTGCAGATTTTTGAATTCCTACAGCATCTTCTTAATTACCGTACTATGTACAATACTAAAGCCAATTCGTGTGACATTTTTCGATTACAATTCTTGAATAATTTAGTCTCTTGCTCCTGTTTCAATTTAAATCACATCTTGTCCACAGCATGACTGCAATTGATTATGTATACATTTATATTAAGTGCTGATATATGTATCGTTATATATCCTAGCATTAATATATAATTCATATATACATATGTATATTTATTTATAGAGCAAAAATGAATTAATTAACCTCATTCTTCTTAAGCGCATAATGAATGCCTTACTTTCACTACATAATTATCCGCTCCAGTTAAAAGCAAAACTGCGCCGCGTTTAAATATGTAACGTGCTACTAAGGCAATGCAATCGGCACGGGTCCCCAGGAAATTACTTTAAAAGCTACGGCCTCCAAGTTCATCACATCTACACCATTCGCAGTCAGCGTTTTAATTATTGACGTCAGATTAGAAGATTTCTGCAAAATGCAAAACGTCAGAGTGGTAAAGGGAAGAAAGGCAAAAAAACGAAAACAAATCAGCGATGAAGTGAAAACTTTTCAATTTACTATACATCAAACGCTCCATAGTGTAGTTGCATACTCACCAGCGTTGCATCGACCATTGGGCGCAGTTCGGCGCTGCGCAATGCTGCATAAAATTGCGCGAATGCCAGATTCTGCTGACGCTTTTGATTAATCAGTTGCACGTATCGATCGTGCGGCAAGTGCCCCAACAGCTCGTCGACAAAACTGTTAAACGTGCGTAAGTGTAGTGCGGATGGTGGTAGGATGGGTGCCGATGATGTTGACATAGTTTCTTCGTTCATCACCCGTGGCAACACTTCGTTCTCCTCCAAATTGTTCAACAGCACAAAGCTGAGCTGCGGTTCCGACGACAACTGCACATCGGACGAACTTGCATCGATGCGGCCATATGCGGGCAGTTGTTGTGCGTCCGGTACAAGCAAATGCAAATAATCCAGTATGTCTATAACCTCTGGAATTTGCTGGACTTGCTGCAGCAGTGCTGTAAATTGCGTGCCGCGTAGATATTTGAACACTTCGCGGAAATTCGAATCGGTGATGTAGTGCTTGGCGACGATTTCGTCCACTGTGGCTGTGGGTATCAAATCGAGAAAGTATTTTAGCTCGTTGATGATTTCCGGCGAGATTTTCGCGGTACTGCGCGTAGCGGCCAGCACTGCTGCGTTGCTTGTTGTTGTTGCCGTTGTTATTGTAAATAGCAGCAGCAGACAGCGATTTGTGTGCGAAAACATATTTTTTCGTTCTTGCGTTCTTTTTTTCTTGCTTTACACTACGTTCGTCCACAATAGCACCGTCTTTTGTCACTCGCAGTCACACACTAAATCACCGAACTCAATCTCGCGCTGACCAACGCTTCACTTGAAAACGTCACTCAGTACTCTGGCGAAGTTATCGCTGCGGTCGCCGGTTCCGTTGCTTATCAACGACTTAAATTACGCTGAGCCGCGATAAACATTGCCTCGCTTTTGTTATTTATCGCTAATTTTGTTTTCATTTTTGGTCGGCATCAACGTTTGCATTGTTGTTGTAGTAAATGTGTTCTTTAGTTGACACACATACAAACAAAAATAATTATGCTGCCCGCTTGCTTTGTAAATCTATACGTCTCTTATCTTTATTTATTCATTTGCAGTTATACGAAAGTGAACACGTACGAATTCACACATGCACTAGGGTTCCACATTATAATTCTGAACATGGGCAGTTCGGCCACATAATTGCTAAAACACAATACGGGTAACGACGAATATTCGTCGTACATGACGACGCCGTCGGTGATTAGTACACATGTTTGTATATGAAGATGCACACAATACTCGACGGCGGCGAACCGCCATGACGACCGCGCCGCCAAAAACGGCATCACCATATCATCGAAAGATTATTTTCAGTAAAAATCTTAAGAATTTTCAAAAAAAATTTAAGTAAATGTCTGCGTTGGCAATATTAAGATTGTTTATGTTTGGTTTCGTCGTTTATTGTGATATGGTGAGTGCGGAATACACACTAGCTGCGATAAAAATCGTCCGTATTGTGTCTTAACGGTTATTTGTATCACCTAAAAATAGTTGAGATATATGTACATATATGGAGATATATATATGTATATAAATAATCAGAATGGCGATACGGACTGATATCCAGGATTCTGTTTGTCTTTCCGTCCGTCCGTCCGTGCGAGAGATAAATTGATTAAAAATTTTGATATTTTGTTGAAACTTTGAACTCGTGCTTCTTGGCACCCAGGGGGTGTTGATATTGCTTATGGGTGGAATTCGTTGAATGTCACGCCCATGCCGTTAAACGGAAACGTATAAAGTGCTATATTTAAACTACAAATTATGAAAGATACGTGGCAGAGAGAGGCTTCCACGAACTGAAAACTTTAAACAAGTGGGCGTGGCCCCTTTCTAATAGGCTTAATAAGCATATCTCACAAACCGCTGCAGCTATTTCAAACAAACTTTTCGAGAGTATGTTATTCGGTTTTTTCTTTATGTACTGTAAAATCAGATCTTAACCACGTCCACTCCCCATATAATGGTTATGTTGAAAACTATTAAATATGTGATAATTTAATAAGTAAATACGTCGTGAATCATTAAGTTTCACACCCAAGTTAGTATGGAAACATTCCATGTCAGCCGGTGTCGAAATTGGACAATAGGCGTGGCACTACCCATCTTTGTGTGCAATCCGGAATCTCATAAATTACACGACTGTTTTCAACCAAATTTTGAGCATGGCATTATTTTGACTCTCTTATGTTATGTTGTGAAAATGGGCGAAATCGGGCTCCAATCACGCCTACTTCTCATAAATCACATTTTGAAATTTCATATGATTCCTTCACTTTATATTATATAAATCGAAAGCTAATGATATCATCAAAATAAAACTTAGCACACAAATTTTATTTATGGTATGCGAACTCACGTCCAAAAATAGTCAAAATTGAACAATAACTTTTCAAGCTCCCGTATACAGAATATGCGGACCTCAGTGCTTATGGCTGACTTTTTTTTTGGAAATATCGGTCTATCTGTGTGGCACCTTAATAAAAGTCCGACAACATCGTTTTATGAGAAAATTATATCGTAATGCCAAAAATGGATAAAGTCGTGTAAATACTTCTTCTAACACAAATACACCCGATATAATGATTTTCGACTTTCAAGCTGACTTTAAACGGTTTATGTTGGCCAATATATGTATGTTTCTGATATTTTAATGTTGAAATAAACATAATGTGCCTTAACGATGAATATGAACTAGATTTGTTTATTAAGATTTCTATTTCACTGGTTAATTTTTACTTATATGAATACCCAAATATTAATTTTAGTCTCTTTGGTTGAATCTACGATCTTTAAAATATGTTAATAAGATACCGTATATGATTATAGTTCCTATACTAACGAAATTATGTGGACTGCTCATTTGTCGGAACCGCGGATATCGAATCATATAACATATAGCTACCATACAAACTGAACGATCGGAATCAAGTGCTTGTATGGAAAACTTTCTCATTTGACGAGATATCTTCGCGAAATTCGGCAACGGTTATAAGTCCAGATCAGATAACTATAGCATATAGCTATCATACAAAGTGAACAATAGGGGTAAAGTTATGGTAGAGAATTTTTTATATTTGTGAAGGGCTTCGACCCAACCGAAGTTAACATTTTTTCTTGTTTTATCCGACATCGCTGTCATATTACTTACTGAGTCTAGTTAAGAGTAGTTATAAGCTGTTATAATCGTTTAGATTCGCTACTGCTCTGCTCGCTGTATTTGCGATGTAAGAGCGATAAAAAAGTTTACTGTTAAAGTTTTTTGCCACTACTCTGCGGTTGTATAACCGTTTTATATTCTACCGCTATTTGATTATACAAGTGCATTTACGCCAGTTGCGTATGCGATACACCACACTACACGGTATGCTGAATTGAGAGCAGTAATCTCGACCAGTATCCAGAAAGTATTACTTTTAAAGCAGGTTCTTAAGAATTTCTGAGAAGAAGTCTCAAAATGTATTCTATATACTCTGTGTTATATATACTCGTATATATGTTTTTAACATGCAAAAAGAAACGTCGTAGACTATAAAGTATATACATATATAAATGTTAAACATGACGAGCTAAGTCGACTTAGCCATGTCCGTCTGTCTGTCCGTCTGTATATACGCCAACTAGGCCCTCAGTTTTAGAGTTGTCGGTCTGAAATTTTGTGCACGTCCTTTTCTCCTCTAAAAACTGCTCACTTATCGAAACCGCCGATATCGGACAACTATAACAAAAAGCTACCATATAACTGACCGATCTAACTCAAGTTCTTATATGGAAAACTCTTATAGTTGTCAAGGTATCTTCATAAAATTTTAAACAGATTTTTTGCTCAAAACATTGCTACACTCTCCGTACAAATTATCCCGTGCAGACATTTATATCACATAGCTGCCATACAAACTGACCCATCAAACTCAAGTCCTTATATGGAGAGCTCTTTTACAAGCTCTTTTACAAGCTATCATCACAAAATTTGGCAGAGATTATGAGGCAAGGCGGTGCTACAAATCAAAATCTGAATAAAGATCTTTTTATACCCTTTTATGCTACAAAAAGTGCTCCTATGAAAGGTATTATTTAGAGCCGAAAATAACGTTTTTTTTTTCAAGAATTTTAAAGCACTATTTTTGAGTTTTTGTAGCATAACAAACATTTAGCCGTAAAATTAAGCCTTTTACCACACCAACTTTAATAATGCAACTTTTAAATTAAGCTTGTGTACATGTAAGTGTCATTGCCTTAAGGCAAAATACCGTTACATATAGTGCCACAGCCTCAATTGCATTCGCATTATTACCGGCGACCTAACAACCAACATTATCCTACCTCTGTCTTAACCAATGCCTATATATGCTTGTGCGTGTACGTATAGATGTGTGTTAGAACTACCACAGATTGCTCAGCCTGGCGTTATTTTACGACACACATTAGTCTAACTAGCGTAATTTATGAGCTGCGTAGAGCAGACGGCCAAAATGTGGCAGGAAAGCGGTGTAACCGGCAGGTAAGAGGTAAAGTCCTGAATGAGCCGCTATGCGCATACATGCATGTATGTGTATGTACTTAATGTGTGATTGTGCAATATTAACGGCAAATGGTAAGACGACCGGTAGTTAGTCGAAAAACGTCTTTTCCTTGCGGCCAAAAGACGCTTTCCGGTGTAGGAGCGGCGACAGCGTTGTGTATACCTGAGCTGTACCAAATACACATACACACATAAATTGGTGTGTGTGTGTTTGCGAGTGGATTTACTTGCTAGTGTTAGCATATTTGTTCGCCTGTACTCGTTTATTGTTCCAGCTCGTTTCCTTTACCACTTTAACGTCGACACTCCGCATCATCAAATTACCCAAAATGGTGGCAAGGCGGTGTTGCGTAAAACGGTGTTGACGGAGAGGAGTTGGGGGCCTACCTAGCATCAGTTGGGAATTGTTTTTCCGGCTTAAATGTGAGAAATGTTTGCCATTTCCACCTGGTGGCCATGCGTTTTTCGACGACTGCGCTCTTACTATACACTATAGATGAGTTAGCGTATGTGTATATGTGTGCGTTGCATAAAAATATGTTTATGTGCAAAATATACAAATGCAAGATAGCATCTGTCTTCCCCATACACACACCAATAGATGGCGCGCTTTAAAGACCAAATCTTTCCATAATGTATTTGGCTACCCGCTACAAAGAACCTACTTTAACCCCCCCTGTAACACCAGCTAGTGTGCGAAGTTTCGGTTAACTTCCGCCTAACATTCACAACAACAACATAAGTAACAACAAATGCGTAATTACGAACTCCAGTACAGGTGTGTTATCGATACGCCGCTGGAATGTGGTGTCGGGTTCATCCACGCAATTAGCCAAAATGGCGCCTCTCTTTTTTTTCTCTTTTTCTAAATGTTTTCAAAACTATTGTACTTTTACTTATTTTCACTACTCTATTTATTTATTAACTCTGTTTGTGTTTTGCAGACAAATGCAAAAACTTTGCAGACGTTCAATTGTATACACTTTTAACGCTCTACAACAGTACAACAAAAATAGGTGTAGCGCGTATGTGTCGGGGAAAGTGTTCGCGAAGAAAAGGTGTAAATTAGAGAACATTTGCTTTTACTTTTTCCGCAGATAATTGCCAAGATCTGTTGTGGTGGTTAAATCGCAAATTAAAAACCGTTTTCTGTGGTTGTGGAAGATGCTACTTGAGAAACTTTAATACGGTTGCTGTAACTTTAATTGATGTTCATCTCGGTACCCTGAACACGAGCTGTGCGCTTTAGCGATCCCTCTATTGTATATATGCCAGCTAGTCCTTCAGTTTTTGAGATATCGATCTGAAATTTTGCACACGTTCTTTTCTTCTC